AATTGATTGATACATTTTCTACAGATGTAAAGAAAGATGCTGTACCTGTTTTAAACTAAAATTAAAAAACATTTATTAAAAAAAAAAAAGGAGGCATACTTACATGTGCCAATACATCCAGCCCATCGAAGGTTTCTGTGCTTCCACTTTGTGGGTCGTCCTTTCCAGTATCGCGTCTTACCATTCAGCCTATCATCGGCCCCGCGGACCTTCACCAAACTGCTAGCAGTGATCGCAGCCTTGCTGAGGTCCGTTCCCATAAGATTCCATTGTTATCTAGATGACATCTTAGTCTTATCGTCTTCCCGGGCCCAGGCTTGTCGCGACCTACAGATGACGATTGACACCCTGCAGGATCATGGATTTGTACTGAACTTTCCAAAGAGTCACCTGCATCTGACCACGTCCCTGCTGCATCTCAGGACAATCATCAATTCGGAGACTTGTGTGGTGTCTCTCTCGAGAGAGAGAGACAGCATAGCCCCCGATCACTGGTGAGTCAAGTGCTCAATCAGAGGTCACCTTCCCTCACGGTATTGTCCCAACATCTAGGGAAGATGATACCTTGCATAGATGTTGTTCCTTGGTAAGGTTCCACGCATGACCACTGCAGTGGTATCTCCCCCCATTCCAAATGGCTTACACCAGTCACTCTCAGGCCAGGGTTCGCTTACTGACCAAGGTGTCCCTGTTGCTCCGTTGGTGGATGTCGTCCCGCATCCTCAAGAGATGCCTCTTCAAGAAACCGGAGTGGATTTTAGTTACAACCGATGCGAGACAAATCAAGTGGGGGGCATGCCCTGGATCAAGCAGACTGGTTGAGCAGGGCCATGGTGGATCAGACGGAGTGGTGCTTGAACCCAGCCCTGTTTCTAGAATTGTCCCGCCGCTTCTGTCATCTGCAGGTGGACCTGTTCACTCAACCCGACAACACACACCCGCCGCGATTTTACACCAGGTTCCAGGTACCAGGGGCAGAAGGCACCTTGGCTGGAGGGCCTCCTTTATGCCTTTCCACCTCTGCCAATTGTACCACTGGTCATCCAGAAGATTCTGGCGGAATGGGCAGAGGTGCTGCTGGTCGCACCGATGTGGCCACGGCGCCCCTGGTATGTGGACCTTGTCCATCTGTCCATGTCACACCCATGGAGAACTCCAGATGACCAGTTATCAGTCTCACAAGGAGCCCTCCTCCACCCGAATCCACAGCTGTTACAGTTAGCCATGTGGCATGTGAGCGGGCGATCCTGAGTCAGAGCATCTCTCTGATAAGGTCATCTCCACAATCCAGGTGGCTCACCACCTGTCAACAACCTGCATCTACGAGGCTACCAGGCGCGCCTTCTGCAGATGGTGTCGAGCAACAGGTGTGGACCCAACCGAGGTAACCATACCACAGGTATTGGACTTCCTACAGATGGGCATGGACAAAGGACTAACATGTAACACCCTCTGCCGTCAAATTGCGGCTCTGCCTACCATGATTGGCGGTGGGTGAGGCCACCCCTATCTCAACACCCGGGGGTGCGGGCCTTCCTGAAGGGAGCGGTGAACCTTAGTCCGCCTATCATTCATCTCTACCCCACCTGGGACCTCTCCCTAGTACTCAATGCCCTTACGGTGACTCCATTCGAGTCTATTTGGACCATCTCCCTCAGGTTACTGACTCTTAAGACTATCTTTTTAGTAGCCATCACATTGGCCAGGCATGTGTCTAAGTTGGCAGTGCTCTCCATCCGGGACAATCTCTGCATTTTCCATCCGAGCAAGTTCGTACTATGTTTGGACCCAACCTTTCTTCCAAAAGTCAACTCGTGGTTCCACAGGTTCCAAGAGATCACTCTCCTGGATTTCTGTCCACAGTCATCTCACCCCTGAGAACGGCATTGGCATCATCTCGACGTTCATCGTTCACTTCGCCGCTATGTGTGATGCACTGTGTCATTCAGAAGGATGGAGGTCCTGTTCGTGTCTTTCCAACCTGCCACCATGGGCCAGAAGGCATCATTGCATACCATTGGCCACTGGTCGAAGGCATGTATTGCCCTAGCCTACAACTGTCAGTCCCAACCGGTTCCCAGTTGCATCACTCCCCATTCTACCAGGAGCGTGGCCACGATGGCGGCCTGGGCAATGCAGGCCTCGGTGGAGGACATCTGCAGGGCAGCGACCTGATCATCATCATCACCCTTTATCCATCACTACAAGGTGGACGTTTATGCCTCAGCTGAGGCATCCTTTGGACGGCGCGTGCTGCAAAGGGTAGCTTCTTCGGCTACGGCACTAGACCAGCCTCACTCCCGCCCCTAAAGTCTATTGCTTTGGCATGTCCCATGCTTGGATTCTCCAAGCAGCGTACAGGAGAATGACCGTTGACTTACCTGAACGGTCCTTCTATGTGCGCTGCGAGGGGAATCCAAACCCACCCTTGGCTTCGGCTGTTCTGGGCTGGGACTTCCATGTTTTCCTATGACATTCTGACTTACCTTGACTTCTAGGCTTCTTTTGCTTCTCTCAAGCCGGCTGATCCTTCGTGCAAAACTGAACCAGTCCAGTCAGAGGAGGCGTGGCCATCAATTTGCATAACTCAGTCTCTAGGCTAATGGACAAAGTTAACCCATGCTTGGATTCTCCAAGCAGCGTACAGGAGAATGACCGTTGACTTACCTGAACGGTCCTTCTATGTGTGCTGGGAGGGGAATCCAAGCCCGCTCTCGGCTTCGGCTGTTCTGGGCCTGGACTTCCATGTTTTCCTATGACATTCTGACTTACCTTGACTTCTAGGCTTCTTTTGCTTCTCTCAAGCCGGCTGATCCTTCGTGCAAAACTGAACCAGTCCAGTCAGAGGAGGCGTGGCCATCAATTTGCATAACTCAGTCTCTAGGCTAATGGACAAAGTTAACCCATGCTTGGATTCCCCTCGCAGTGCACATAGAAGGACCATTCAGGTAAGTCAACAGTCGATTGGATCTTTATGATTTTCTTATTTTCTTTTGTTCAGGGTTGCCTCAGTGACCACAGAAATGCAATACTTTTGGTATTAATATATGTCATTTTCCTTTTGTTTGCAGTTAAGACAGTTCCTTACATTATGGAAAACTTTACTGACCTGGAGGTTAATGTGAGTGGCACCATTGTTCTGGAGTGCAAAGTCAATGGGATCCCAAAACCTGATATTGCTTGGCTGAAAAATGGCCACCACATTGCCCCTGCTTCAGGTGAGCCTTCTGAGATAAGTGCTGCTACTCTTCCTTCTTTCTTTCGGTTAAGGTCACAGGTGGCCTCTTGGAAAATGGGGAATCATAGATAAGTAGGGGGGGGGGAATCATTTTCAAGGTCCCAAGTTCAGTTCCCAATATAGCAGGAGAAAGTACAGTGTCAAGCCCCAAAATCCAAGACAGACATGTAGAGTTCCTTCTTCTGGGCACTTTCTTTTTTTCTTCCTCTCTACCTAGACTTTGTTGTCACTTCATCCTCTGGAATGCAGCCCCTCCCTCCTGGGAATCTCCAGGCTACATTCTGCCATATCCAGATAGTTGTTGAATTACAACCATTCGTTGAGCAATTGCTCAAAGTCACAGTGGTGCTGAACAAATACTGATTCCAACTGGTCCTTGGAGTTCCTGCCATCCCAGCACCCTTGCAGTCATGAAATTGCTATCTGAGCACTTGGCAACTGAAGCAAATCCCATCCTCCCTCACACTAATGATGTTACCTACTTGGGTAATGAAACCCAAGCAAACAACCAAGCTCAGAAAGCACCAAGGACCTCACAGTCCTCCTTCTGCTCCTATATAAATACGCCCAGCGATTGGGAAGATGAGAGCCAGGAAATGTGGACTGAACTACCTCCAGCTGCCCACTGCTCTGGCAAGAGCAAACCTGCAGGCCTTAGAATTCCCTTTCAGTGCAAAGCAACACAGGTAGTCCTCAACTTATGACCACAATTGAGCCCAAAATTTATCTTGCTAAGCAAGTCAGTTATTCAGTGAGTTTTGCCCCATTTTACAATCTTTCTTGCAACAATTGTTAAGCAAATTACTGCAGTTGTTAACTAGTAACATGGTTATGTTGACTCTGATTTCTCCATTGTCAGAAGGTTGTAAAAGGGTATCACATGACCCCAAGACACTGCAACAGTCATAAATATGAACCAGTTGCCAAATAATAGCAATAGCATTTAGACTTACCGTATATACCACTTTACAGTGTTTTACAGCCCCATCTAAGTGGTTTACAGCATCTTCCCCTAACAATCTGGGTCCTTATTTTACCCACCTTGGAAGGCGGAGTCAACCTTGAGCCAATGAGATCCGAACTGCCAAGTTGCTGGCAGCCGATGATCAACAGAAGCAGCCTGCAGTACTGCACTCTAACCTCTGCGCCACTGCAGCTCATGAATTTTCAGCATCTGAATTTTTCCTGATGCTCCATAATGGGGCCAAGCAATTCCAGCACCAATTTCTCAGGGGGGCGAGAATACTTTCTAATGCATGATGAATTGAAAATAATGCTCCTTCCTCCCCCTCTGCCCTTCCTTCCTCCAGGAATTTCCATGGAAAACAACACTTTGGTGATTGAACGAGTGAAAAAGGATGATGAGGGTCAGTATGAATGCCAAGCGATCAACGAGATGGGTCAAGACAGTACCCGGGCGTTTATTAAAATAGAAGGTGAGAGGCGTAAGATGGGATGGTTTGTCTCCAACAATTTATGCTGGGACTGCAAACCCTATCACTTTTAACTGTTGTTAAACAACCAAAATCTATCAAATACAGGTATGCAAGTGAAGCTTGATGGAGTGGTGGGTTAGGGTTAGGATCAATGGATCTTGAGTGGAAATCTTTTCGTGTCTTTTTCAGGCTCTGAAGAAAAATCCAACATAGAAGTTATCATCTTGGTTTGCACTGGTTTAGCAGCCACTCTCTTTTGGCTCCTTCTGACCCTCTTCATCCGGAAACTCAGAAAAGTAAGGTGATCCTCATGTTTTAGGCTTAGAAATGAATCACTTTAAACACTGAAAGAAACTAAAGCTGTTTGGTAGTCAATTTCTATAGTGCCACTAATGACAGAGAAAAGTCTTCCTTCACCTACAGCTGTTTAGTTGCAGAGTCAGCTGGAGGCAGCTTCTAAATCCCACGATTCCTGGGAAAAAAAGACATGGCTACTTTGATGATTTAAACAGAGGTAGTTTATCCATCTCTCACATTTTTGAAAGTACAACTATTCTGTAGACAGTTCAATTAGTGGCCATTCAAAAGTTACAACGGTACTGAAAAAAGTGACATGATCATTTTTCACATTTTCAACCATTTCAGCATCCCCATGAGTACAATATATCAAAATTCAGATGCTTGGCAAGTGACTCATATTTATGACGGTTGCAGTGTCCTGGGGTCATATGATCCCCTTTTGTGACATTCTGACCAGCAAAGTCAAAAGGAAGCCAGACAACAACCATGTTACTAAATTTAACAATTGTAGTGATTCACTTAATAACTGTGGCAAGAAAGGTTGTAAAATGGGACAAAATTCACTTACTATATATCTCAGCAACAGAAATTTTGAGTTCAATTGTAGTCGTAAATCAAGGACTGCCTGTACCACTTCTGAAAGTTTTGCCCAACCGTAATACCACGGCGGTACAAGAGAGTTGGAAGAGATTGGAAGAGAATCATCTCCCAAATGTGAATTCTACATCCCTGTCATTTCTGAGCTCTCCTTGGCAGGGACTCATTTTCCTAATCCTTGTTCAATGGGTTAATCAGTTGCTGTCTGTGTCAACAGCAGAGTGAAAGTGAAAGTCCAAGCAAAGCTGGAATAGAATGCCAACCTGTCCAGTTGCCTGGAAATCCATTTAAATTGCTAGAGATTACAAGCCCATACAGTATTTATACATCCACACAACTATAAAAAGAGCAGAAGATGGTTTTCATGCTTCTTTAGGAGGAAGAAGGGGCCCCTTTGTTCAAAGCTTTGCAGGAATGGAGCTTCTGTCTTCTCACCTCCTTCTGTGTTCATCAGCTCCATCCACCTTCTTCCAATTCTGATCTTAGGGAGTTTCTTTTTTTTTTTCAGCCGGATGCCACCGATATTAAAACTGGATATTTGTCCATCATAATGGACCCAGAGGAGATGCCCCTGGATGAGCAGTGCGAACGTCTTCCTTACGACAGCAACAAATGGGAGTTTCCAAGGGATCGGCTGCGGCTGGGTATGTGGCACCTAGGCAGGCTCCTCTGTTGGGGGGCGGGGGGTGACCTTGGACGGAATGAGACAACTTGGCATAACCAACTCACCACAGCCCTGGACCACTCTCTGAGGGACGATTGAACAATTCAATTGAAGTATTCAAAATGTAGAATAACTCTTGTCCTGGGTCATGTTGTCCCAGAGAGAGTTGGCCTCAGTGAATTGGCCGTGCCGAGTTGTCCTTGACCCGACCTTGAATACTACTGGATTACTGCCTAAGTCCCCCTTCCAAGAATTCCTAATGACTCTGCTGGCTGCCAATTTGCAGTTGTAGCTGAACACATCTGGGATGGATTTGACAGCTAATAGTCCATTTGTACATCATTGGATTTGGCACAATGATAAAGATGTATAAATCCATTGTTTGCCGGAGGGGTGGTCAGCCAGATGACTTCCAGATGTTTTGCATGCATGATGATGGGAATTGTCATCTCAAAATATCTGAAAGAGACGGTGTCATCTGTCTCTGTCTAAGGGATGTCTTCAGCTTCATGCAGAACATTAACTAGGTTTGTTAGAGCCCATCTCTGCTTTGAAGGAAATAGACTACAATTGCTTTCCATGCTCCCTTCTAAACCTAAACATTGTCAGGGAGAATAAGATAGAGATGACAAGGTATGGGCGGGCCTCAACTTACGACCACAATTGAGCCCAAAATTTCTGTGGTAAAGTGAGACATTTGTTAAGTGAATTTTGCCCCATTTTACAACCTTTCTTCCCACTGTTGTTAAATGAATCATGGCAGTTGTTATGTGGGAACATGGTTGTTAAGTGAATCTGGCTTCCCCATTGGCTTTGCTTGCCAGAAGGTGGCAAAAGGGGATCACGTGACCCCGGGACACTGCGACTGTCATAAGTATGAGTCCGTTGCCAAGCATCCAAATTTGGTTCATGTGTCCATGGGGAAGTTGCAAGGGTCTAAGGGTGAAAAACATACAGGTAGTCCTCGTTGAACAACCAGTTGCTTAGAGCCTGTTCAAAGTTATGACAGATCTTCCCAGAATTACTTATCACTCAATTTAGAAGCTCTGGTCGAACCCACCTCCACCCCACACTAGTCATGTGATTTCCAGTGGTTGTTTGCAGCATCTCCTGGTCACATGACCATGATTTTCAAAAAAAATTGCCATGAAAAAGCTTTTACTTTTGGTTTCGGGTAAAAAGCATCCATTGAGGAAAACAGGCTTGCTTAATGTTGTTATTCAGTTAACAACATTTGCTTAATGGCTTCTGAAAAAATAATCAGGCATGCTCACATGATCGATGACTGTAATTCTGGACTCAATTTTGGTCGTAAGTCGAGGACTACCTGTTCTACCTGGCCTCATAGCCCACTTCTCTTTTTCTTAATGTAATTTTAGTGAGTCCAATCTGTTTTCTGTTTCAAGCACAAATTCAGTCTGTTACCCATGGTGAACAATTCATGTATTCATAAATCAAAGGTCCTACTTGCCAGCCTGAGAGAACCTGATATGGGCCATAAAGATTTTATGAAGCATCTCCAAATCCCATAATATTTTGCAGAATGCAAAAGACTAAGGATCATTTTTCAATCATTTGCGGTTCACTAATTGTAACCCAAAGATTAATCCTGGGATTTTATCCATTCCCACAGTCTTTATTCTTAGAAAATCCACTACTTCTCAATGAAATGTCAGCTTGCTATAATACTTTCCCATTGTTAAGTTTCCTTAATAGTTTAATATTTGGCCCACGAAATTACCTCTTCCCAATGGATGTGAAAGCAATCTAGAATCTACCTGATTACCAATCTTTGGTAGGAGGAAGAAGGGGAGGACTAAAAGCAAAATTATTTAATTGAATAATAAAGACTGAGGGTTGCATGCAAAGCTTTTTAGCAATGCACAATTTTGCAAGCTTTTCTGGATTCTGGAAATGATTCTGTTTTTTATGTTCCCTGAAATGTATGAACCTTTGATTTTGTTCCTTTTTCTCCCTGTGTTTTGTATTATTTCATATGTTTATACATATGTTCTAGCATGTGATGCAGACTTTCTGCTCTATGCTTATCGGGACTCTGATAGTTTGCAAAAAAAAAACACAGATTCTCTTGCATGCAATTTGTATGTCAATATGGCAATTCTTTGCAAATCCAAGGAAGTACAGGCTGGGCTCTTGTGAGAAGAACCCATCTTTCTGAGCTTCCTTCCTCCCTTCCTTTTCTGGAAAAAAAATCACTGTTTACTTATAAAATTATACTGATGAACCTTCAAAAAGAAATATTCAAAGGATTTTTTGACTAAGAAATTTTGGGGAGAGCATCCTGCCGTGCTGTTGGCTTCCACAATCAAATAATCATCTTCATTTTTTTAAAAAAAAACATTTTATTATGCAACCTATTAAAATGCATGCAACAGCAGGGAATGATCAACACAATCTCAAAATTAAAATATAGAGTAATAAAAAAAGGAACAAAGGGAAGTCATGCCTGGATATTATGTTTACATCTTAATGATGTTTATATCACAATGTTTCCTTCCTTCCGTCTTTGAGTAAACAAGGATGATTTTCTTTTCCCCAGCATGATTAGAGATTTATATTTGAAAGTGAGACATCTTCAGAAAAAAATGTCAAGCGTTATTTCTGCAAAAGCAAGAATCAATGCGGCAAAACAGAGGGGGGGGGAAGAAGCAATGAATTGTGCAAAACAAGTGGAATAAGAGGAATCTCTTTCGCTTTGCAGGCCTGTTTTTGCAGAACAGACTTCTTTTATGCTAGAACTGGAGGGTTGCAAAGCAGGTCCCTCCTTTGGTCTTGTGACATCCAACTTTGCTTTGGAATGGGACAACCCAACTGCAGCCAACTCACCATGAGATAACTCGCCACAGGACAATTCAATAATTTGATTTAAAATGATTTAAAAATATTTTTAATTGTTGTCATTCACATTTCATTTTGTCTCTCCTTTGGCATCCTTTCTTTAATGGTTATTTTTCATCACTTCTTCAATCTTAGTGTAACTCTTGTTCCGCAGAGAGTTAGCCATGTGGCAGCGTCTCATGGCGAGTTGGCCACAATGAGTGTTTGTCCCAGACCAACCCCGCCCCCCACTTCCCTTCCACGCCTGGTGTTGTGGGTGCTGCCTGGCTCACTCTCTCCTCTTGCTTCTCTAGGTAAAACTCTGGGTCATGGTGCTTTTGGCAAAGTGGTGGAAGCATCTGCTTTTGGCATAGATAAATCTTCAACCTGCAAAACAGTGGCTGTTAAAATGCTTAAAGGTACACTTCTCTCAGACTCCTCAACAGTTCCTTCTGAAACTCAAAGCTGGTTGTGTCACTGGAGAAGTTTCAGAAACATTGCAATTGAAAATTGAATAAGGAAGGATGGCATTCCTTTTATTACTCTTCCCTCTTCCTTGCGGTAACTCTGGAGTGAGATGGGCAATGTGGCCTATCGTACTTTGGTGCCTATTGTTATGTCCTTGAGCATCCTGCCTGATTTGGCTGTATTGTTTTTCAGTAGCTTTCATTTTTTAATAATAACTTTTATTGCATTGTGAACTTAGTTGTTTTCTGGCAGACGTTTTATCACCCACGCTGGTTAACATCATCAGTGCTAGTCAGCTAGTCAACCTTAGAGCTGATGATGTTACCTAATTGGGTCATGAAACATCTGCAAGAAAACAACCAAGCTCCGAGACCACCAAGAACCCCTCATTTCAATCCTGAGCTACAAATATTCTCCTTTACTGGAATTTTTATTGCAGTATAACAATACAAAGATAAAAAACTAATTCAAACTAAGAAAAAAAATAAAAAGTGCAGAGAGAAAAAAGGGGGAAAGGAAAAGATATATAAAGAAAAAAAGATATACAAGGAAATGACTTCCTCCTTCATCAAGACAAGTACAAAGCAATTTCAGTAGCTTATCACCTTCTCTCACATTTTTGCCAAAAATCTCTTCATCCCAGGTTTTCAGTTATTTTCAGAGAGGGTAAAGTTTAAAAAGAATTTACAGCTGTGTTTTTGGAATCTACACAAGACCTTCTCTTAAATAAAAATGCTGGGTGGCTGAAGGGGTGCTATGATAGGGGTGTTCCAATATTTGAAGGGCTTCCGCAAAGATGAGGAGGTCAGCCTGTCCTCCAAAGCACTAGAAGGCAGGACAAGAAACAATGGTTGGAAAGGAGAGAAGCAACCTAGAACTAAGAAGATATTTCAATATTTTCTAACAGTGAAAACAATTAACCAATGGAATTCCTTGCCTTCAGAAGTTGTGGATGCTCCATCACTGGAGGCTTTTAAGAAGAGACTGGACAGCCATTTCTCTGGAATGGTTATAGGATCTCCTGCTTGAGTTGGACTAGAAGACCTCAAAGGTCCCTTCCAACTCTGTTGTTCTGTTATGTTGATGCTTCAATTGAAGGAGCATACAGAGAAAGGAGGCGGGTCAGGAAGACATCATCCCAGGGAGGCAGTTTGCTCTTATTAAATATTTTGAGACTGGACTCATCTACCCTGTAGCCTTCCTAAAAACAACCAAGGCTCCTCATCATGACAATCGTGCCAAGAAAGCCCCCTAAACATGGTCTCCATTTAAGAACATCCACTGGTATAGCTTTCCCCTTCTATTGCCGCAACTTGCAGCTTTTTGCCTATTCCCAACCCAACATGTAAATAACGTGATGGCAGGTGACATGATGTCAGGTACCATAATGGCATCCTTGCAGACTTGGGTTCAAGATTTATTGTATTGCTCTCAGCCAGGTGCTGAAACCTCCAGAGCATCTGTATTGAAACTGATCCTGAATCCATTTATGACTCTGAAGCCTCTAGCTTTGAATTTCTGACATGTGAAACAGCATTGCCATGTACCTTTGTTAGAGATGTCCTGTACAGGCCAGCCTCCAGAAGAGCAACATGAAGTACCTTGTTGAATGGCCACCAGAGATGACTACGGGTAGAGCTTCTCTAGAAGGCACAGGAGGACTCTCTCTGCCCAAAACACATGAGCAGGTTCTGCATGCACAAGATCCAAGTTTAGTTTCTGGCATGCCAGAGGTTAAATCAATGTTTCTCAACCTTGGCAACTTAAAGAGTGTGGACTTCAACTCCCCTCTGGGCTTTGAAGTCCACATGTCTTCAAGCTGCCAAAATTGAGAAGCACCAGATTAGATGCTATAAATATATTCAGCTAATCAGAGTTATTCCCTCATTTCTAACATACTCCATTAACATACAGAGAGATTCAGCAAACCGAATGAAGCTGGAATATATATCATCTTGTTTCTTAATGACTGAAAGGGGTAATGCCAAAGAGATAAACAAATTAAATCAATTAATGACAAATCACAGGATCAGAGGGCTGGAACCTGGAAGAGATCCTGGAGGTCTTCTAGTCCAAATCCTGCCCAAGGAAGGAGACCTTCTAAGGAAATCTAGCTTAGCATGGAAGCAATAGCAATAGCAATAGCAATAGCAATAGCAATAGCAATAGCAATAGCAATAGCAATAGCAGTTAGACTTATATACCGCTTCATAGGGCTTTCAGCCCTCTCTAAGCGGTTTACAGAGTCAACATATCGCCCCCACCAACAGTCCGGGTCCTCATTTCACCCACCTCGGAAGGATGGAAGGCTGAGTCAACCTTGAGCCGGTGAAATTAGAACTGCTGAACTGCAGATAACAGTCAGCTGAAGTGGCCTGCAGTACTGCACCCTAACCACTACGCCACCTCGTCTCGTCTCATACAATGAGTGATAGATGATCAGTCAAAGGTATCTTTTCTACTAATATGGATGGATTTCTAGTAGTCTAAATACCTTAACATTTAAGTATTTAAAGAAATCAGAAAGGAATTGTGTTAAGGATGAGGAGCACAAACCTTGCCAACATAAACAAATTTATTTTCTTTCCAGTGACAAGGTTTGGGCCATCTGGTAATGACATTTACATACCAGTTCTCTCTATAGATACTTGATGAATAAATACACCCCTTAGCATATTAATTGCTTGGAATATTAGGTTTTAAAATATATTGTGGAGTTTTCTCTAACTAGATGAGGGCTGGACCGATTTCTTTCATCACTGCAAAATCTTATATTTTGTTGTGAAACCACGTTTGCTTCACAATACAAAACTTCTAGATGTTAGCACAACTTTTGGTCAGTCATCTGCTCATCCTTATCCAATATCCAATAACTAAGAGGCTGTCACAAAGAAGAGGGAGTCAAGCTATTCTCCAAAGCACCTGAAGGCAGGACAAGCGGCAACTGAACCAAGAGAGAAGCAACCTAGAACTAAGGAGAAATTTCCTGACAGTCAGAATAATTAATCAGCCTTGCCTTCAGAAGTAGTGGAGGCTTTTAAGAGTCTGAATAGCTATTTGTCTGGAATTGCATTGGGTTTCCTACCTGAACAGAGTGTTGGACTAGAAGACCCCCCCAAAGTCTCTTTCAACTCTGTTACTCTGTTATCTTTTATGTATGATCGAAATTACTTTGAGCATCCAATTTTCTTTCCAAGAGCATCAGGAATAGCCACTATTCTTTATTTAGTACTGTTTTCAAAGGTCTGTCCCACATTTTTCTCCATGCTTTGGAATTATCCCACATGGAAGTACACTCTGGAAAATGTCATCCTACAACTTGCCAAATATGTGACTTGTTTGAGAAATGTTTCCAATGAAAATATAGTAGTTCTCAACAACAGTTGTCCCTAGCTCTTTCCTGGAAGTCATTGGTATGAACAATCCTTATTGTGAGAAACTGAGTTATTGTGGGATTATGTTGCCAGAATTATTAAGAATATTTTAAATCCAAGAACAGGTGTATAATTGGTGCACTCCTCAGCCTGTGTTCAGCCTGCTTTTGGTCTAATTTCAAAGGCCATTTTCAAGTAAGCAATTTTCTCTACAAGTGAAGGAATGAACCATTTGTTCAAGCTTCCTGCATGGAGAGAAGGAGAAAGACAAGGAGAAACATCTGAAGAGAAAAAGAGATAAAGAGGATGAGAGACAGAGTTAAAGAAACGTGAAAGAAACCAAGGGAGCAAAACAGAATAACAAAGTTGGAAAGGACCTTGGAGGTCTTTTTAGTACAGGAGACCCTGTACCATTCCCGACAAATGGCTGTCCATTCTCTTCTTAAAAGCCTCCTGTAATGGAGCTCCCACAACTTCTGAAGGCCAGCTGTTCCACAGGTTGTTTTCATTGTTAGGAAGTTTCTCTTAATTCTAAGTGGCTTCTCTCCTTGATTAGCCTCCATCCATTGTCTTGCTTTCTGGTGCTTTGGAAAATAGTTTGGCCTCCTTTTTTGTGGCAACCCCTTGGATATTGGAAGACTGCTATCATGTTACCCCTAGTTCTTCTTTTCACTAGAATAGACATACCCAATTCCTGCAATCACTCTTCATATGCTTCCATTTTTAAATGGGCTCCTTCCTTTGCTTATTTATTTTATTTAAAGCTTTTTATTTTTTCATTTTCATAACATATAGCTACATGTATACTATTACATAACCAACATCTTATTATATTATTAACTGTGTACATCAATTTGTCTTAACATCAACTCCCAAAAACAATTATTGGCTCTTCTGCTCTCCATACACCATATTTGTACCTTATCCATCACTTTCTTCACCCTCTCTCTTCCTCCTCCCTACCTCCTTTCTTCCCTCTGTCATCCTTCTCTACTTCTCCTTCCTCTTTCCTTCTCCTCTCCCTCCTTTCCACTCGTTCTTTCCTCCTCCCCCTTCCCTCTCTCCTCTCCCTCTCTTCTTCCCTTACCTCTCTCCTCTACATCCCACTCTTCAACTCATTTACTTGGTGTATTTCAGCCTCTGAGTGAGCTCCATTTTATGTTGATGGTATTTATAATTCCTTTTCAGTAT